GTAAAAAGTCACCCTAGTTATAAACAATGCAAATAACAGAAAGAGTAAAAAATGATGAAAGGTATCATTACTCCCTGCATGCACAGAGGTAGACATTGCTACATTCCCATGAACATCCTTCCAGAAATTTACCTTCGCCTTTGTTTATGTGTCTTTAAAGACATTGCTGTTTTTGCTCAGTTGCTCTTTGAGAGCCCATGCACTGCAGTATGCCAGGCTTCCCTGCCCTTCACTATTTTGGGGAGTTTAGTCTTTTTTAAAAAAATTAATTTATTTTAATTGGAGGCTAATAACTTTACAATATTGTGGTGGTTTTTGCCATACAGTGACATGAGTCAGCCACAGGTGTACACATGTCCCCCACCCTGAGCCCCCCCACCAACCCCCCCCATCCCTCTGGGTGGTCCCGGCTTTGAGTGCCTGGCTCCATGCATCAGATCGGCACTGGTCATCCCTTTCACATATGGTAATGTGCGTGTTTCAATGCTGTTCTCTCAAATCACCCCACCCTCACCTTCTCCCACAGAGTCCTGAAGTATGTTCTTTACATCTGCGTCTCTTTGCTGTCTTGCATATAGGGTTGTCATTACCATCTTTCTAAATTCCACATATACGCATTAATACACTGCATTGGTCTCTCTCTTTCTGACTTACTTCACTGTGTATAATAGGCTCCAGTTTCATCCATCTTATTAGAACTGACTCAAATGCATTCTTTTTTATAACTGAGTAATATTCCATTGTGTATATGTACCACAGCTTTCTTACCCATTCATCTGCTGATGGACATCTAGGTTGCTTCCATGTCCTAGCTATTGCAAACAGTTGCAGGCAGATGCTTTACCACTGAACCACCAGGGAAGTCCTTGGTATCAAGACATTTTCACAAATATTGAAACAGAGATAAATGGGATAAAAGTTTTTAGGTGAACTCTTTAAAAACAATTATGTCCTATGGTATATCTACCTAAAAATAGCTTCTCTGGATTTTTGGTAACTTAAAACTTTTAGAGTTTTGCTAAATTAAATAGAGTAATGGGAACTCACTGAATGTCCAGATTATTTCCCATTAAGATGGAAGTGCTGAAACATTAATTGCTAAGCATGTATAAATTTACCTGCTTTGTCTTCTCATTAGAGAAAATCTAAAGATGTTTGGGTTTATTGAACACGTCTTGTACCACACTGAGAAAAGAGATTATGCTGAGAGAAGATGTTTGGTTCGAGAATTTATGAAGTATGTTCATACGTTTGCTGATCAGGAACTGGTGGTGTGACAATCAGTTTGCTTGCTACTTGGTGTTTGCTAGAGATTAAGGTTTCTAACAGACGATGAGATGGCTGGATGGCATCACCGACTCGATGGACATGAGTTTGAGTAAACTCTGGGAGCTGGTGATGGACAGGGAGGCCTGGCGTGCTGCGCTTCATCGGGTTGCAAAGAGTCGGACATGACTGAGCGACTAAACTGAACTGAAGGTTTCTAAAGAGTTAAAAATTATAATATATATAATTAAGTCCTCACGAAATAATTGGAGAAACATTTCAGTATTCAAGGAGAATAATAAGATGTATGTTTTTAGTGAAACAGGGTCTGAAGAGTGGAAATGCGTTTTGTTAAGGGAAAGCAGAGGTATGCTGCCCTAAAGCATCTCAGAGACACTAAAGTCATCACGCTGGCTGGCTGTATTACGTTGAGTGGGAAGCAAGGCCAAGCAAAAGTAACATTAAGCTTCCTTTCTGTTATGTCAGTGTAAGTGTATAAGTGTTCCAGAAACGATATGAAATTCCTGGAAATGTTCTGACATAAAATGTTATCTGTCATCAAAATTGATGCTCCCATTAAAGAACTGAACCGAATATTTAGGAAATGCCCTCACTGATTTTCATGCTGAGGCAACTTGACAACAGACTCTGTAGAGATGATGGTACCTGTAGATAAAGTCCATCCTCCTCCTACAGAACATTAACCCCTCATTGTCAGACTCCTGCCATCCTGAGGTCCTTAGAACAGTCTGCTCCTAAATCAGAGAAATGAGATGGTAAACGATAGCTGTGACTTGAGCAGTTGGGGCTTCAGGAAACCCAAGACTCCTAGGAGCTAGGCTCCTCCTGGCTCCCTGGCAATCACTGCTTTTCACTTGGGGGTTTAAAGCCTTCCTTTGCTGCAAGGCTAAGGAATTTGTCCTCACAGAGACAAATAAGCTGTTAGAAATTGTGTTTTCCACTTAGGATTATGCTTTTCACAGTCTCCAGGGATCAAGGTACCCCCTTCATTGGGCAAATCATACTAATATTTACAAAAACCTCACAAACTTCTTAAAATTATCACGGTGACTGTGCTCCTCAGTTGTCAGGCAGAGTCAACAAAAGTCATGGAGAAACTGGACTCAAGCGGAACTGAAAATAATTACATGGGGTTGAATGAACTGATAAGCGTGATTATAATTTTTATGACTTTTTATCTGAATGTTACCGTTTTTTAATCTTTGTTTTCCAAATAAGGGAACCTTTCCCCCTTAAGCTAATGATGACTTACAGCAATTTTGTAAATTATACATTTGCAAAGTAGAATTGAAGCATGTATCTTATCTTTCCTCTCTCCCTGATCCCTCCAGAATTTGGGAACTCTTGGGTTCCCAGCAGCCTTTCCAGGTGAATAAGGAAGGCTGCTTCCTGGCGAATACAAGAACCTCAGGATATTTTGAAATATTACTCAAGAGAGGAATGCGCCTACCTCTGGAGGTGTTGCAGGAGGAATCTAATGACACGGCTTTCCCGATCTTGAGAGGCCTTGCAAAAGTCCACTTTGAGATCCCTTGTATAAAGTTACAGTAAAACCAAATTTAAAAGACCCTATGTGATCAATTAGGGCTCCCCAGGTGGCTCAACTGTAAAGAGTCCGCCTGCTGAGGAGGAGACGCAGGTTCAGTCTCGGGGGGAAGATCCCCTGGGCAAGGAGCTGGCAACCAACTCCAGTGTTCTTGCCTGGGAAATCCCAGGGGCAGAGGAGGCTGGGGGGCTATCGTCCGTGGGGTCGCACAGAGTCAGACACGACTTAACGACTAAGCAACGACAACAACAAATATGATCAATCACATTGATGCAAATAATCGTGCCAAATTTATTAAAAATCAGACTTATTTTGCAAACCAGTTGGCTTAAATTTGACTATATTTGGTAAAAATGAAGATAATCCAGAGACTAAAGTTAAGTTTCAATAATATATCTTAATATTAAGATATTAAAGTTTTCTATATTCTGAAGTTTTGTATTTAATACCTACACACAGGGTGTCTCTTTGTTTCTAAGTTACATCATTGTAAGGTGTAATTAAGTTATTAAGAGGGTATTCTAGGCTTGTTTCTGAAGCTATCGCAGCAATCTGTCTTGGGAGGAAGATGAGCTGCCTCATGACCTGCCCTCAGGAGACCATGCGTACTGAGAAGGTACCATTTTAAAGACTTTTGGTCTGACCTCGAGGGACTCTTACCAGGCACTCGTAACTAGCTCTTGCACAGTGACCCTAAAGAGAATTGACTCTTGAGTTACTATTTCCCACTGAAAAGGGGCCTGTGCATGGAACTGGCCTATAGAGAGACTGCCAACCTCAAACTCACCTTAAAACAACTGTCAGGCCAGGACGAGCAGAAGGTGCCAACAGTGGTCAACAGACAACCCAGGAATCCGGGCCAGGCCTGTGAGCCCCATCCTACTAGCTCAGCTGAGCTGCTTATCAAATGCTCGTCCTCCTGTCACAGCGGAAGTTATTGTTTTACTGCTAACTATGCTTTCCCCCAACATTCAGGATGGAAAGAAAATTCTCTGGTAAAGTTGTTATGGGGCTTCCCTGGTGGCTCAGTGATAAAGAACCACCACTGTCAATGCAGGAGACGCGGGTTTGAGCCCTGGGTTGGGAAGGTCCCTTGGACAAGGAAATGGAACTCATTCCAGTATTCTTGCCTGGGAAATTTCCAGGACAGAGGAGCCTGGCGGGCTACAGTCATGGGGTTGCAAAGAGTTGGCAACAGAAGTTGTCATAAAGGGTGGCTCCTGGGGTAAGCCCCTCATAATACCTATCGATGACCGTTCAGATGTTCCTAACATGACCGCTCACCCAGACCAACTGCCCTTTGACCTAACCTTTCAGGTTCAGGTTCTCCAACATACTAATATGCCCATCCATGTCTGATGCCATCCTCTGTTCTTAGAGACTGGACGTATTTACGCTAGGACACCCTTGAACTCTGCTCCTTACTTAATTGGAAAATGTTCAAAGAGAAAAATGCAAGGAAATTGTGTCAACAACTCCCTTATATCAAGAGTCTAGTTGACTTTTAGAAAGTCTACAAGAGAAATGATCCATAGTTTAATAAAATTGTGTTGACAGAGCCCTCAGTTCATGAGGCTATCAAGGGGAGAACCCAAGGGGATCACCTGTACTCCCCGGGTTCTGTCTTCACACGTGGTTTTGGAACCGACGCAGCTTCCCAAGGATGGGCACATAAATGTCTCAACAGCTGACAAACATTGCCCCATTGTCTACACATCAGGAAACTGATGAACCTCTTTCTGTCCTCATTACAGAGTTAAGAGATCCATGTTAGCAAGATAGCAGGATACCTGGCAGCAAAATCTTTTGGGAACCTTAGTTCCTAATGCAAGAATATATGTCCGCAAAGATATGCTCAGAAATCTATTGCATCAGCCGCCACGAGTCCAGTAAGCGGAGGGATTTCAAACAGTGTCGCAGCACAGCCTGCATCCGTCAGCGTCTCAGCCCTGCCCGGGCCGGACCACAGGGTCGCCTTAGGCTGGCTGCCTGCTGAACCAGCGAGCATCTGCGCTCGTTTACTTCTGGAAAGTGGAGACACCCCTACAAAGAATTTTCCAAAAGGCAAAATAATTATAAGATGGAGAAACCAAAACTGACCCTAAAATTATGCTTTGTTGGCTTCTCTCAGGAATAGACAATTTTCTTTCTACTCTGCTCTTTACAGATGATGATTATTTTCACAATGCATACTTCGTGCTTTCCTTACGCATCCAGCTGCTCATGGCATGCATCACTGCTGTTAACAGCACATGCAAAATGTTTGCACAACAATTTGTTGTCACTGATAATATGCAGAACCCGTAAAATGCTTCTTAATCAGCATATACCTCTGTTTTCGTCTAGTATACTCATTCAAAAAACAAGGAGCAGGCCTAGTACCGAGGGACAGGAGAGACCCAGGTAGCTGTCACCCTAGAATCAAGGAACAAAATTGTTTACACTGAAGTGCAGTTTATTTACAATGCTGTGTTAGTATCAGGCTCATAGCAAAGTGATTCAGATTATACATAAACATATAATTTACATGTATCCTTATTTACTTTTCTTATATTATTCTTATAATGTTTGTTATATAAATATTACATATTAATATATAATATACATATATATTCTTTTCCATTATAGGTTACCGTGAGATATTGGACATAGTTCTCTGTGCTGTGCGGTAGGTCTTCGTTGTTTATCTGTTTTACATATAGTAGTGTGTGTGTGCAAAGTCTCTTCAGCCGTGTCTGACTCTTTGCAACCCTTTGGACATAAGTAGCCCACCAGAATCCTCTGTCTGTGGGATTCTGCAGGCAAGAATAGTGGAGTGGGTCGCCGTGCCCTCCTTCAGAGGGTCTTCCCGACCCAGGGATCAGTCCCACATCTCGTAAGTCTCCTCAGTGGCAGGTGGGTTCTTTCCCACTAGTGCCACGTGGGAGCCGTATATAGTAGTGAGCATCTGTTAATCCCAAACTCCTAGTGTATACCCCTCTCCACTTTCCCCTTTGGTAGTTTATTTTCTACATCTGTGAGTCTATTTCTGCTTTATAAATGTGTTGACTAGTATCTTCTTTTAGATTCCACATGTAAGTAATATCACACGATGTTTGTCTTTCTGTAACTTCACTTAGTATGATAATATTTAGATCTATCCAAGTTGCTGCAAATGACATTATTCCATTCTGGCTTCCCAGGTGGCTCAGTAGTAAAGAATTTTCCAGGAGACAGTTTTGATCCCTGGGTTGGGACGATCTCCTGGAGATGGAAGTGGCAACCCACTCCAGTATTCTTGCCTAAAGAATCCCATGGACAGAGAAGCCTGGTCGGCTACAGTCCATGGGGTCACAAGGAGCAGGGCAAGATTTAGTGACTAAATGCAATATCCCATTATGCATATGTATACTGCATTTTCTTTATCCATTCATCTGTTGATGGACATTTAGGTTGCTTTCATGCCTTGGTTATTATGAATAGAGCTTCAGTGAACTTTGGGGTGTATGTATCTTTAGAATTAGAGTTTTCATTTTTTTCTAAATGTATGTCCAGGAGTGGGATGAATGGATCATACAGTAGTTCTATTTTTTTAGCTTTTTAAGGTACTGCTATATTGTTTTCCATAATGGTTGTATCAATTTACATTCCTACCAACAGTGCAGGAGGGTCCTCTTCTCTCCATACCTTCTCCAGCAATTGCTATTTAAAGGCTTTTTGATGATGGCCATTCTGACCAATATGAGGTGATACTTCATTGTACTTTGATTTGCATTTCTCTAATAATCTGTGATGTTGAACATATTTTCATGTGCCTCTAGACTACATGTTTTCTTTGGAGAAATGTCTGTTTAGATCTTCTGCTCATCTGTTGACTGGATTGTTTGGTTTTTTACATTGAACCCTATGAACTGGTTGTATATTTTGGAGATTAAGCCCTTGTTGGTCTCTTCATTTGCAAATATATTCTCCCATTCTGTCTTTTCATTGTGTTTATGGTTTCCTTTGCTCTGCAGAACTGTTAAGTTTAATTAAGTAAGGGACAAATATTTTGATCATCAATGCTTTCCTATTGAAAGATTTATAATTGAAAGGGGGAAGTAATTAAAAAATGCTCACATATTGAAGTACAGGGAAGTCATTCTGGCTTATGCTTCTCTAGAGCAGTTTCTCAGAGCGATCTGGGAAGTTGGTTTCTGGTCTATAGGCCTCAGTTTGGCTCAAATGCAACTCTTTTCTATTCTTATTATAGACTGTATATTGTTGACAATTTTAGATGTCTCAAAAAAGAGGATATCCAAACGACTAATAAATACATGAAGACATGCTCAGCACCATTGGTGGGTACAGAAATGCAAATTAAAGCCAACATAGATAGCACTATGCCCACCAGAATGACTAAAATGGAAAGTTGAAAAGTTCCACCTTTTGATGAGGCTGTGAAGCAACTGGAACCCTCATACACTGCTGTCTAGCTTGGAAATCGGCAAGGAACTTGGGGGAAATGTCTGATGAAATTTCTCATGCTGGATACCATGTTTTCAATCCTAGCTATAGATCAAGAGAAATGGGTAAATGTTTTTCCAAAAGGCATGATCGGGAATGAACCTCGCCGGGACTTCCCTGGTAGGCCAGTGGTTAGGACTCCATGCTTCCACTGCAGGGAATGGGAGTTCAATTCCCTGCAGGGACTAAGATCCTGCAAGCTGCATGGCATGGCCAAAAAACAAAAAAAGAACGACTATAGCAGCGCCATGTATCATCACCCCAAACTGGAAGTGAACAGAATGCCCAGCAAGAGTGGAAGGGGTGATGTGCGGAGTGCTCGCCCAATCCGTCAGTCAGTTCAGTTCAGTTGCTCAGTCGTGTCCGACTCTTTGTGGCCCCATGGACTGCAGCACACCAGGCCTCCCTGTCCATCATCAATTCCCGGAGTTTACTCGAACCCATGTCCATTGAGTCGGTGATGCCATCCAGCCATCTCATCCTCTGTTTCGTCCCCTTCTCCTCCTGCCTTCAATCTTTCCCAGCATCAGGGTCTTTTCAAACGAGTCAGTTCTTCGCATCAGGTGGCCAAAGTATTGGAGCTTCAGCTTCAGCATCAGTCCTTCCAGTGAGTATTTAGGACTGATCTCCTTTAGGATGGACTGGTTGGATCTCCTTGCACTCCCAGGGACTCTCAAGAGTCTTCTTCAGCACCACAGTTCTGATACACAATTGCTGGGCTGTGTATCAGTGAGGTTCACAAACACCATGGACACAGAAACACGTGTGGATCTTTCAAGCAAAACAGGGCATGAAAGGAGTCAGACTAGGACCAGTACGTGTTGAATGAGCCCAGTATGTACAGTGTGAAACAGGCTAAGGAGTCGCATACCCGCTGTTAGAAGTCAAGCTGGCAGTCAGTCAGTCTTGGCTGGGGCGTGATGAAATGGAAGAGGCCCAGAGAGGCTTCTGGGCGTGAGTGCTCTTCCGCGTCTTTATCTGGAGTTGACTTGGTGTTTGTGATTCTCGTCCTTTTCCGTGTGTCTGGCATGCCTCAGAGAAGTTTACCAGGAAAGCCTAGTGCATGAGCTTGCGGAGGCACATATGAAGATGTTCACTGCAATTTTTTTCTACAGCAGAGGAAAAATGGGCACAGCCTAAAGGCCCATTGATAAAGAGAAGGTTTAAATTACTGCCTATTATTATTGTGATAGAAGCTAGAATGAATAGAGTGGACTTAAATAAGCTGGCATGAGGCATATACACAAAGTATATTGTGAGTGAAAAAGCCAGCCTAGAAGACAATACAAACAACAGCTAAAACATGCAGAAATCAAAAGTGCGTATCTCTGTAGATTATATATTGGGTTGGCCAAAAGTTCATTCAAGTTCTTCCATATGATGGTGTGGACACCTGAACAAACTATTTGGCCAACCCAATATTTCTATGCAAACACATAGAAATGTATAATAAACAAAGTACACCAGTTGTACTAGTGATTTTTTTGTCTTGGAGACTAGAACTGAGGATGGAGATCAGAGGTATTTTATGTTTATAGGTATTTATATATATATATATATATATAAACAATATATTAATATAATGCTGCTGCTGCTAAGTCACTTCTGTCGTGTCCGACTTGGTGCGATCCCATAGACGGCAGCCCACCAGGCTCGCCATCCCTGGGATTCTCCAGGCAAGAATACTGGGAGTGGGCAGCCATTTCTTCCTCCAGTTAGTGTGCTGACATTGTGTTTTACTATATTTTACCACAGTGACAATGGAATCATGATTACTTAGGTAATTAAAAATAATACTTCAAATGATCAATGGAAGTTTCCAAGGGGACATTTCCTAGGTGAATAAAAAATAAACAAATACTTTGATATATTCAAAAAGTTGAAATTGTATTAATACCATGACATTAGCTTATTTTGAAGGATTAAAACTATAAATTATTAACAAAGGTCTAAATTAAAAATCTCTTACCAACTGCTGATTAAAAAGTACTCCTGTAAACATAACATTTGAGGAAAAAGGAAAAAAGAAATATTACTTAAATTCTAGAATATCAGAAAAATAATGAAATTACAGCAACAAATGGGTTTCTACAAAGCTGTCCTCAAAGATGAAGTCACATCTTTAAATGCTTTCACTATCAAACAAAGAAAAAAAGATCAAAACTTTCAAGTCAATGATTTTTTTTTAAGTAGTTGCAAGGAAGATTAAAACAGTGAAGATAATAGCATAAATTATTAAATTAAAAAAAACAGAAAAATGAGAGTTGATGAGCAGATTAAGACCTAAGAGATGAGTAAATCAAAGAGCTAAGTCTTTGAAAAATTAAACAGAACAGACCAGACTCTGGCTGATCTAGTAACTACGAAGGAGGAAGGAGTGTGAAATAGCAACTACACAAAATTCTAAATCATATGAGCGACAAAACAACAAGCAGACAATTTTTAAAATTGACAAGAAATTACTTGCACTGTTGTATGTTAATAAATCTGAATGAAAACAGATAAATTATCAAGGTTGACATTAAAAGAGCTAAGGAATATGCATAAATAGTTATCCCTGAAAAAAAATGTTAAAAATAGAAAACACTCCAAAAAGGGTTCCAGACTTAGGCACTCTTGCTGTTGAGATACTGTGAACGTTTAAGGCATGATTAATTCCAAAAATGTGTACTCAGTTTTAGAAACTTATAAATTTGGAAGACTTGTCAAGTAATTTTGACAAATATAACTCACCATATGTTCTTCAAACTTTTATTACTTAGGAATTACATAGAAAGATGCCACTATATCATATAGGGAAAAAGCAGTTGGGTTTACCAAGG